GAGTCTCTGTGTGTCTATTCTGTCCCCTGCACCTTCTTTCCTCTCCCCCAATTCTAAGTTACACATGATTTATAATCTCTTGACTCTAATGCCTCTGTTGGAATTATGCCAGTATAGCTGATCAATCCTTAGTCATCATCATGGCTGGGCTTCGCGAACGAAGATTTAGGAAGGCTCTATCCACATTTGTTACAAGCACACTGGTGGCTAATGAGGCCAACACGAGATAGACATGTCCGATTGCAAAAGGCACAGCAGAAAGACTCCTTAGGTGGTATATTGAGCAAGACACGGTTCTTTCTGCGTTGCCTTTTCTCCTCCAGAGTGATCCTGCGTGCGTTCTCAAAGGAAGCAGCAGCGTTATAGATGGTGTGTCTCCAGGCCTTCCGATTGGAGGCCAGAGTAGACCAGTTATGGTGATCAATATGGCCAAGGCTGAGATGTTGTTTCAGGGAGTCCTTGTATCTTTTCTTTGGGGCTCCTCTCTTGCGGCAGCCGATGGCAAGTTCACCATAAAGCAGGATCTTAAGGAGGCGGTGGTCCTTCATCCTTGAGATCTGTCCTACCCGACAGCTGAGTTCTCAGCAACATGGCCTCAATACTTGTGACTGCTGCTTGCTCTAGAACAGATGTGTTGGTCACATAATCTGACCAGTGGATGTTAAGGATTGTACGGAGACAGCGTTAATGCCTGCATGTTACATATGCAGACAGATTTTTTTTTTAAGCCTGAATTTCAACATACTAGCACATCTTTGTACATCTGGAGGCAGACTTCTCCTTAGAGAGAGAGAAAAGAACTTCGAAGAGGGAACATGCATCATCAGTTAGTTTCACCACATAAAACATTGAATTGCACACTACCAGCTGATCTTGTCAATCCATCCCATACTTAGAGATCTATTTTTATATAAGTCTGTTTTCCATGATAGTTCTTAACAACTTTAAATAACGAGAAAAGGAAATTTCCAGCTTCCTAGCATGACACAAAATGCCTTATTCTAGTCTAAGGAAGTTCTACGACAACAAATTTTAAAGCTGCCAACGTTTTCTGATCTAAGACTTTCTTATTTATAGTTTCTGGGAGAGCGCAAAGGTGCATTATGCTGTCCTAATATTAATTATGCAGATAAATAAATTACAACATGGTTATTACCACTGTGTATGAAATATAAAATGAAACCAATTTTTAGATCATGTAAAAAATCCTATGAAAGTGCCTGCATCTCTCCTGCTTCTGCACCTTGTTTTTCTTCTTCCAGCAGAAAACAAAGTACTTGAGTAAAAATTCTCAACTGGCGAGTGAAATTCTTGCCGTTTGGTATCAGGAGATGTATCACAGTCTTCAACTAAAGCTATTTAGCTGTGAAAATCAGTGCTAGAAATAGTATAAGCCTCTCTTCACAAGGTAGCTTGACAGGATCATCACCTAAGTGAGCAGTTTTTGATGGCCAGTGGGAAGGAAAGTAAGCTCTTTCAGTAGATACACTCCTTTTCCATATTTCACTATGACAACTCCTGGGGACTATTTTGTCTTTTTATTAGTTTTTTGCAGCTGTTCATCCATACGCTACACCAGACTCTCACTCCATTAGTTTTATTTAATAGTTTATACTCCATCTACCATCCCTCTCAAAGGAAGACAAATCAAATAAGTACATTGCTATTTTGGCATACCAGAAACTACAAAAAAAAAAAAACAAAAACAAAAAACCAAGCTTCAGTCAGTAATAAATAAAACAAAACTGTTGATATCTCTGTAAAGTTAGTACTGAGTTTACAAGCTTTAAAGTACCTACCACTCAATACCAGTCAGCCTTGGTTGATGTTCAGCATCCCACGCAGTATTTAGCTCTGGTGGATCTAACACTAGTATGAGATGACTTTACAGAGTAGGGTATTAATGCAGCAATCAAATTAAAGGGGTTTTAGCTTTTACAAATTGATTTCTCGACTCTGTGTTGGTCTAGCACCAATATAACATCAATAGATACAAAGGGTATTTTCCTAGGCATTGAAGAAGCCAGTAAATGTTGCAGAAAAAATACAGAAATCAGAAAGATGGCTGAAACCTGCCAACTCCATTCATTCAGAGAGTGGTTCTTCTCACACATCTCTCTCTTCTTATATTTTAGTATCCCAAGTAGTCCATTCCTAATATACAGATTCAAAGACACACCTCTCAGGCATTTTTTCCTTTGGTTTCATAACTTCTGTTTTCCCTTAACTAGCAGTCCTGTAACTACAAGTGAAATGCTATGTGCCCACACCAGTTATGTTACTTAGCTATCACAGAATCATAGAATCACAGAATCAGCTGGGTTGGAAGGGACCTCTGAGATCATCAAGACCAACCCCTGATCCACCACTGCCACGGTTACTAGACCATGGCTATCACATACTGTAAACTGCATTGCAAATATATTTCCACATGTACTTTCTAATATTTACTAATGACTCCCAACAGATCATTGTGGTGAGTATGAACTACAGCTTGTCAGAATATTTTTCAATATATGTCAGTTCATAAAGGCTAAGATATGTCTTGGATATGCACTGATTAATGATATGTTTTCCACAAAGTTGAAGAAGGAGTCTGGCATTGAAAATCTTACTAAATCTCATATTAAAAATCTGACACATATAGAAACAATAAATATTTCTATATAGTTGTATTTCCCACATATTTTTTTACAGCAAAAGGAATTGGTTTTGTTCAGTGAACCCTGTGACACTCTCTTTGGCTACATCAAAAGATGGAACTGAAACAAAATGACAGAGTAGGTCTCTGGCCCCAAAAAGCCTTAGCATAGTAACTTAGAACCAGAAGGATATCACTAAAAATTAAATATGATAAAGAACAAGAAAGGTCTAAAAGGCAGGATCAGGCTAAATTCAAGCTACTTTCCTAAATATTGACTGAATCAGATTCTTAAAACAACATGTTTTTAATCAACTCCCAGCACGTAGCTCTGATAATGAGTCCCAATTATTTGCTTTTACAGTTGCATATACAAAAACTACATCCAGTAATCTCTTAGTCTGTGAAATTAAGAAGTGCCAGAATTTTAACTGTGCTATTTCAATTGCTTTAATTTACAACATTGTGTATAAATGTCATGATAAAAAATAACATTTTAAACTAAATCATACACATAATATGAATGCTAAGGAAACCAGATCTGTCATCAGAATAACTCATACTATTTAGTCCGTCAACAAACCAGTGATAAAGATCCCACCTTCACAATACAATGATGGTTTGTTGTTCCAAGTAAAGAATGCAACAATTTTAGTTAATTCTCCAGTGTACTGAATAAAGGAAGAGCTGGTACCATTACTTTTATTAAACCATTAAAATGCCAGAACAAAATACTCTCTGTAAAAAGCACAACATTATTTTCTTTAACTTCATGAAAAGAATGGAAACAAATTTTTTTCAATTAAAATTCAATAAATTCTAATTCATTGGAACAAAAAACATACACATGTGCTTTCTTAGAAAAACAGGAGGAATGCAATATGTAATATAATACATCTTAATCTCTACATCCTCATAGCTACAAACTATTTGGAACTCATTCTAAGTTGCGACACTAATGGAAAAAATCTCAATTCAAATAAATAAAAAAAGTCAGATAAGTTATTAAATGTCTTAGGTTTTTACGGAAAACATCATCCAAGTGTTCTTTGCTTTGTTCCAACTGTTCCTCAGCACTTCACCCCAATACTCAAGATGACAACCATATGCATGAAAAGACTGTCTTGGTGAAGCAAGGAACTCATGGTGCAGCTCCAATGCAAAAAGACTGTGTGTATGAGGTGTAAGCAGGGACAAGGTGAGGAAGGAGGAATTTAGAAAGACCACATGGGCATGTAGGGACACGGTTAAACAAAGCACAAAGGGAGTTCAGACTTGCATGAAATGTCAAGGGCAACAAGAGCAGCTTCTACTGCTCGAATAGCAATGAGAAGTTGAGCAGGAAAATATAAGCCTGTTGTTGCATTGGGCAGGCAACCTGGTGCCAGCAGACACAGATGATGCTGAGGGACTCAATACCACCAACAAGGTACTAAAGGTATCTGTTGTTTAGTAAAAGGGGTTCAAGAACTACCAACAGGAGATGCAGCCTGAGTCAGGGATGACTTGCAAGATCTTGGTCTATACAAATGCATGCAGTCAGACAAGCTGCATCCAAGATAACACCAAGATAACCAGCCACTTTTCATCTCTGAGAAGTCACAGAGACAAAGGAAGGTTTTAAGTAACCGCAGGGAAACAAATATGAGAACTAAAGACCAGTCTATCTCACTGAAGTTCCTGGAAAAGTTATGGAGTTAGTTCTCTTGGAATGCATTTTTCTGGACATATGGACGAGAAAAAGGTGACTGAGAACTGCATGAACTTGTCAAAGATAAATCATTCTTGACCAACTTACTTGTCTTCTATAATAAAATGACTGTTTTCAATGATGAGGGAATGGTGGAGGATGTAATTTATCTCAGCATTGTCTTACTGCAAATTAGGAAGTTATGGTCTGTCTCTTCAGGTGGGAAACAAGAGGGCTAAAAAGCCAGTTGGATGATCCAAAACAGAGAGTAAATATTTAATACCCCTTACTCCACCTGAGCCAGTAACAAGTGGAATATCACAAGGGTTGATCACAGGACGTGTCCTGTTTTAACACCTTAATCAACAACCAAGGGGAGGCATCAGAATGCAGTTTGCAATGGTTGCAGATAACACCAAATTCAGAGAACCTTTTGGTAAGCTTGAGGCCAGAGCTGCCACCCAGAGAGACCTAGACAAGGTGGAAGAAGGGGGCAAGAGCAACTTCATGGGATTAAGTCTACACATGCAGAATCCTGCACCTGGAAAGGAGTAACTCCATGCAACAGTACAGGCTGGTTTTAATCACAAAGGATAATGAGTCACCTATCTTTAAATGATATTTTCAGTCCCAAATTCTGAATAAAGTTTTTCTGCGCTTACTCCTTACCTTTGTATGCAATAATTGGGTGCTCAGCTCTGTGGCAGTGCATATCTTCTGTTGTTGTTGGCTCCAGTATTCCTAATACCCCAAGTCCTGCCAACAGCAGTGAGAAGAGGCAGCTTCCTTTCATGGTGGTCATGCTGTCCTCCACAGCAGTCACTTCTTTTAACTGTCTACTCTTCTGGTATTCATGTGGGAAAAGCACCTGGAGAATTCAAAGAAATTTACTTAAGTACAAGAGCCAACCACATGAAAAATTAGACAATTCGTGATCTTTAAAACAAAACAATGTTGCTTTCTTTCTGTCTCTGTAGTATTTGACTACTCAAAAGCATGCTATCAGCTGGTCCTCTAATTACTTCATAGACCTATCATGAGTTACCTAATTTAGCAATATGGATTTCTTTTCTCACCCAATGGGATTAAAAAACTGTATATATAAGGGCATAAAGCTCTTATTCTAATGTTTTGATAGTCCATTTTCTGCAAGATGACATTTCAACGTATTATGCACTATTCTGATACAAAATCAACCAGTTTATGTGGGCTATAGCATAGCTAATCGATATTCCTAACTTAAATATCATACAAATACATTACTAGCAGCTAGTTCTAATTCATGTTTCTGTAAGATTACATATATGATTCAGGAAGCAAAACAAAGGTCTGATACCACATCACAGACTCTCAAAGGCTGTTTTTCTTGCACACAATACAGCAGCAAGTATTCCAACACCAAGGAATACGGTACTTTCATGATGAAAAAAAGCCAAAAACTTTATTTATTTTAATTTTTAGTCTCAGAAATATCCATAAATGTGTGAATATAGTGGAAAAAAATTAAACAAGAATAAAATGAAACATTTATATTGGAAGCCCAGCTTTCTCTATCTCTCTGGCTGCAAATGAAGCCCCATGGTCTTTATGTAACTAGGCTTTCACATCCCAGTCAAGTTTCAAAAAAACAGCTCTACTGTAGAACTTTTGCATCTACTACTACAAAAAGATAATCTTGTTTCTGCAGAAAGAAAGAAAAGGACTCTTAACCAAAATATTAAATATCTACATATTTACAGATATCTTGGTTTCCATTACAAAAAGGATACTGACTTTCATGGGACTAAGATGCAAATGTTGACAAGTCTGATGCCTTGTATCCTTCATGTATCCAGAAAACTTCTCCTCACCTGCCCCGTGTAAAAAGAACTCAGTGTAGCAGAAACAAAGATTCCTTCACAACAATACCTTTCCTCAGCCTCTAAATCCAAAGAGAGGCCAAAGAGGTTTTTTTCTTTCCTAGCTGAACCTCTCCTCTCAGTGCATGCATCTCATATGGCAAAAATGGAGGCAGGATACACTCCTTTCTCTCAACCAGTATATCCAAAGACAAGGTCAGTCTTTTAAGGAGAGACAAGGAAGGATGTAAAAGAACTTCTGATAATATATCTCAGTTCAAGTTTCTCTCTACCTTGACTTCTAGATGTTTAATTGTTTTCCACTATTTTATTAAGTCTATTAATGATTTTAGATGTATGAATTTAAATATATTAAGCACATGGTGGGTAACTGCAAGGAGAAGCTTACTTGCAACTACTCAGAGGAGAGTTTTCAGAGACCCTGATAGACAAGAGAACAGTAAATCGAGGTAGCAGGTAGAAACCTCATCACTTCACTACACTACTGTATGCATGGAAGGAGAAAGAATTCTGGAGACTGCACCTAAAATAATGCTAGAGTAAAAAATTAAAAGTAACTTTTAAAAAAATCCCCAAACAAATCAAGCAAAATCAACCAACCAAAATCAAACAGCTCCCAAGAACCAAAAACCCCACGCAACCCCAACCTCCCCAAAAAATATAAAAAACCCCCCACAAACAAAACACAGACTGTCAACATATACCCACAGCATCAACAGATGAACAGACACCTTAGAAAAGACTTCAAAACCAAATCTTTTTCCATAGAACTTGTAAGGGTTAGATTTCTCCCTTTTGCACATGCTTGAGTAAGAACTGCTACACAAGTTCCATCTGTGCCCACGATAACAGCTGTTAAGAGTGAGCCCCAGGAGGTTGCACCTGAACTTCGTACCAAAACAGAGCTGAAACACTGTAACAAGTCAGAAGTCCTGAGGCAGGCAAAGCAATCTTTCAGCCCTTCTCCTTACTGAAAGTGCAGCTATTGTGCAAAAAGTGATAGCTAGCCTGGAGCATAAGACATGAAAAGACAAAGGCAAGAGAATCCTAAACATGAAAAGTTTAGGCTGGTTTCCTTGATTTCTGTAGAATTTCCATATGCAAACATCTCTCAACCATGAAACATAATGGTCAAGTCAAAACTCTTCAAGGCATATCCAAATAGTGATGCTGACCAACTTTTTAACTATAGCAAAACATTTAGGAAACAGCACATTGACCTATTATTTGAATAGTTTTTCTAGCAGAGACCTTTAATCAGACTTCTGACAAATTGTATTTTACAAGTCTGTAAAACAATCTGAGGATGCAAAATGAAAGTGGAATAAACAGTATTATAAGATGCAATTTATTTCAATATATTATTTTACTCCTGTATGTAAAGGGTCTTATGCACTTATTCTCTCCCTCATTCCCTTTGTTTTGGTCCAGCTTGCCTAGAAGAAATATAAAGATGAATGAGACCCTTTAGGCAAAGGTATTATATTTTACAAATGTACCATTTGGTTTCTCCATCAACAGTATTTGATGAGAAAAAAATCCTGTAATTCGCGATTTTCTATTTTAGGTGAGCCAAATCCCCCCCTACTTTAAAGAGAAAAAGTGTGAACAGCTACGCATACGAGGCAGGTAACCGCTTCTGCTAAATCCAAGCAGATTCATTTTAGACTACTCCCTCCAGGCACCGAAGTCATATATTTAAAATTAAATACTCAGGATGTCCATATTTCTACATCATTTAAAATACACTGTGTTGGAAGTACAATTTACCTTTGAATTATAAACTATGTTTTCTTTTGTTCAATCAAAATAAGCTGCTGTATAAAAGAGAGAGCTGCCACACTAACTGCACCTGTCCAGGAGTAAAGTTTCTTTCAAATAATTAACTTTGCTGATTCTGTAAGCGTCAGTTTAACTGCACTTTCATTGAAAGATGAAGTGACGCTGTCAATATAAGTATACAAAAAGCAGAGTTTGGCATGGTTAAAAGATGCCAGTTTCAGGACTGGTTCTGGGTACATGCACCCAGAAGCAGGTCTGGGGTTTCTTTATGTGCACACTAGTGTCTACTCTCACAGACACTGCTCATGTAATTTGCTGTGGGAGATTCATTCCATTTTCCCTGGGCACTTTGCTCCACTTCTTGGTTTGCAAAACAGTAAAAGTTTGATAAAAATTTTCTGTGCTAAGTAACTGCTTCAGATAACATTCACCTTTCTGCACAAGCACAAACTTGAAAAAAAAGTATTTTGCTAGTGAAATAAGACTATATGCTGCATACAGACAAATCAGGGTATCAGCATTCATACAGTCATAAAACTGGAGTACATGAATACCCTGCGATGCAAGCTCAGTGTCTTTTTCTGTATTTTTTCTTGATTTGTTAAAACTAAACTCCTCTAATTCATAAAAAATATTTGAGAGGAAGATTGCTTGAGAAAGGAATATATAAAAAAGACTCTGTCATCACACCTACTAAAAAAAATTGGGTAAATTCTAAGTCAATGTGTATACTCTCAGTTCCTAGTTCTGGCAACACCAGTAGTGACAAGCCCTGGAACCCAGAAGGAAAAAACGATAGAAGCCAGGAGGAGGCATCAAGAAGCCTGTTTCCAAAAAAACCCCCAAGTTGTTTTTATTATAGTGAATCCTGTTTCCTGTCAAATACACAAAACCCCCAAACCTATACCTTTGTAGTAGAATTACTTTGAAATACATTCCTTACTCAGTATAGCTTTAAGAAAACAATTTGCATATCACTCAGATACACAATTAGATTAGATCAATAGCTCAAAGATCACCTCATTAAACATCAAGATGAGACTGGAGGCTATAGATCTTCTTCCATGAAATAATCTAGTTGTACACTATCACGTCTTTTAACCAGACCGAGCAATGCAGACTGTTTACTATGCAGCTGAGTAGCATATTCTAGTTTGTCTTTGCATAAAGTGAGAGTCAGCTTCAATTAACAAACTGCTTACTGAGTTCCTTCATTTTTTTTTTAATATTGTCATTCATTTCTTTAGTGGCATGAATTTTAAGATCTGCAAGAGACAGACAGCCATCAGCTGTCATTGAGTAACACAGTCAAAAATCAATCCATGAATTCAGAGTGACATTCTGCCAAAAGTCTGCTAATATCAGTAGCTGAGGGTGACAACTCAGAAGAATCTGTCATCGAAGCTAGTTCTCCAGCGCTTCTCAGAGCTGAAACTTGTGATTTGCACAAAGGAATCACTGCTTCAAGAACAATAGCCTGAAGCAAGGAGTTTGTAATAGCACCTCAGAACTCAAGTATCACATTGTGGGCTTGACTGCCTCATCAGTGGGGCATAGCCCCAGTGGACCACAGCTGCCTTGAGCAAGCACAGGCCAATCCAGCAGGTCCACACAGAAGAGCACCACAGGTAGCTTAGGGGTAGGAATAAAGGTAGTCAAATCAGCACAGCCTAGGCCCAAGTTCCAGCAAAATTTCAGCACTTTTTTCAAATCCCTTTTTTCTTAGCTATCCATTAGCTCATCGGTCTTTTTGGTATCTTCACAAGACCCAAATTCCTATCTAAAGTTTCCTTCCGCTCATCTGGTTTCCCGGTCCAGTCATTGAGAGCACCTTTCCCCATGTACTGCTTGGGACATCCACTGAACTGTGATCCTCAGACTGGACATCAGAAGTCAGCCTGAGGTAGTGGAAGGAAGGATTCTCCACCTCAGAAGACCTCAGCCAGCAAAGTTTTTCTTTTACAAAATAGTTTTAATGGAAGAACAAAATGGTAATGATTGTTTGCAAATAAAGGTCTGAAAAGTGAAAGAAAAATCAGAGGAAGTTTAACAGACAAAGGAAAGGCATGAAGTGAAGGCAAATGAGCCAGAAGAGCACAGAAGTGTCAGCTAGGGCAAGGAAAAGAAATGGAGAAGGAAGAATTAAGGGATCAACACCCCCCCTCCCGAATTTCATCTTCTCTTTTCTCTCTATACAACACTTGCCTGCTCCTTTTCCAGTTGGTAC